TCTGCTAATGCCGACGAGGATTGGAAAGTGCGGCTACTATTACGCAAATTGGGCACCAAGGAACCCGAGCGGTACACAGACAAAGTTCTGCTGGAAAACCCTCGTGATTTCACATTCGACGAAACCGTCAAGCAACTCCCAGAAACATCCGAGAAGTCATCACTGTTCAATATTCATTATCAGTGCCTGAAACCGGTGAAACAGGCGCCAGACGATTTCCTGACGCTCGCTCGTATTGCCAACCGCCTTGTCGGTCGTCTTAGTTCTGCCTACGGACTACAATAAGTCCGGAGGGTCGAGGTTACAGAAATTTTTCTTACACTGAAGCTATGATTTGCACTCAGCCATTCTGAACAACAACGTCATCCAAAAGCCTTATGGATAGGACAAAACGCGGCCTGGGCAATCGAACCCCTCAAGCGGGAAAGAACCGGGAATGACGCCATCTGCACAGCTGTCCTTGGACGCTGTATGTAAGACCTGCCCTCCGAGTAATACCAACCCCAATCCGCTTCCCCCACATGAGTAATTTCCCCAACCAAGGTCAGCTAGCCAGAGAGAGGGAGGGAGGGGGGGGGGGAGAGAGAGGGGAAGTGCATTCCCTCTCGTGCGGAATCAAAACCCACCTTTGGACAATATAAAGACAAGCACAGTGAGGACCTGCACTACCTTACCGCATTTGTGTCAGAAATGAAAGTGCTGATTATTCTCGTTGGCTTCAAAACACAGGTAAAAACAAACCATTGCTTGCGCAAAAGCTTTTGGTCGTCACGCGAAAACGAGCATCTAAGTTCAAAGATCTGAAAATCACGCTTATGACAAGGTAATTCATGGCGCCGGATGCCGCACCTATTACGGCTGCAAGCCTAACGACGAAGGCAACTCCAGGGGAAGAGAGCGCCGGGAAACCAGCACTGGACCGCGCCGAGCATAGACGGGGTCTCAATCACTGAATGCAAGCCAGACCGGAGTCTATGCACGTCCTTGAGGGCAAAAGTGTAGTGACTACAGAACAGACTAGGTGATATCACATGGTCGTTTGACCGTCGTTACCGATGATGTCCACCATGTACCATGGAGGCACTGGTACCTAAACAAGGCAAGCAAAATCCTGGGACGCCTAAATTGACTGAAGGTCTGAGGGGTTTTTGGGCAGTGGGGTACTCTGTTTGACGACATTAAACTTTTATCTGTGGCCCCACGAAGCTGTGTTCTGCGCAGTGGCAGCCGCTTCAACTAGCTTAGAAGACCCGTGTTGTTGTCGGTCGGGTAACAATCGGGAGGGCCCCCCAAACATCTGTAGCCTAGAAAGAAGACCTACTATAGCTATTTGAGTAGGTATTAGCCCATCATATTTGCTGTCCCATCTGACCTGCTGCTTAATTTAAACTATCATAGCCTCAAACAGTTGAGAAGCGATCGCTGTAGACCGATCCTGGCTTTATCAACCGTGGCATTAGCTTCAACAGCTGAGGAGCGACCGCAGTAGTCGGTATGCGGCTTAATCTACATTAGCATACCTTAGGACAGTTCTGCCACTGGATTATAAGTCCGGAGAAGTCGAGGGCTGCAGACGTCTTCCTCACGCTGAGGCCATGCTCAGCACTCAGCCATCCTTCACCCAAAAAGCCCTATGGAGAGGATGAAACGCAACCCTTAAGGCGGCCTGGGCAACCCACCGGGTTGTTTAAACAGTCCATTTCAGAGACGCGCTGCTTATCCCCTCACGCAGGAAAGAGCCGGAA